GCTGTCTCAGCTCTTATTCTAGCCCAGGGAAATAGCAAGCTATCTGAGCCCCATTTTCTGTGTCTGTATCTTTGTAGGCTCCTGTTAGAATTAGTACTTAGTATAGTACCCAACACCGCAATATTAGTTGCTTCGATTATTTTTTTGTTTGTTTGTTTGTTTTGGGGGGATAGGGTTTCTCTGTAGCTTTGGAGCCTGTCCTGGAACTAACTCTGTAGAGGCTGGCCTCGAACTCACAGAGATCCACTTGCCTCTGCCTCCTGAGTATGTTTGTATGTTTGTTTTTTTTTTTTTTTTTTTTTTTTTTTTTTTTGAGACAGGCTTTCTCTACATAGCCCTGGCTATCCTGGAACTCACTCTATAGACCAGGCTGGCCTGGTCTGCCTGCCTCTGCCTCGTTCTCCCCCCGCCCCCACCCCCAGTGCTGGGATTAAAGGCGTTTGCCACCATGTCTGGCCTAGTTGCTTCATTTATTATCACACAGATGTGAGTGTATCTGGGCATAGCCTTTAACTGCCTGGGGCCTCTATTTCCTCATTTTTTAATATGAGGAGAGGATAATATTTTGCTGGAGTGGCTTTGAATGATTAAAAGTAAGCATTTTGAATTACTTAACCTAAGTGGACATTTGCCTGTTGCTAGTGGGAGCAATTGTTTTTTAATTTTTAGGGATTGAGGGCCCTGTGTGGGAAGGTGGAAAGATCAAGTTCTGGGGAGATGGCTCGTGGGTAAAATGCTTACCGCATAAGCGTAAGGACCTGAGTTCAGATCCCCAGTGCCCATGTCAAGAGCTGGGCACTATGGCACGGGGCTATGATCTCAGCACTCGTGGGCCCTGGGGCTTGCCGGCCAGTCTGAATAGCTGAATTGGTAATTTGGAGGGACAGTCATAAAAGGAGTCAAAAAAAGGTAACCGAGGGAGCCTCCTGTTTGACGTCTAGGCTCCATACGCAGGCACCAGTGTGTGCACAGGCACACACTCATGCACACACACACACACACACACACACACACACACACACACGTGCATGCACACACATTGACTAGTGTTTTGAAAGCAAGCTGGGCTTGGTATCTCACACCTGTAACCCTACTGCTTAAAAGGCAGAAGTCTTACATGTATTTAGGGCTAGCCTAAGGGGGGTACATGGGGAGTTTCAGGCCAATAGCGTAAAACCCTTTCTCAGTAAACTAACAACAGTTAAAAAAATCTTAAAAAGACAGTGACCATGCAGATCACCCTCACGTGTCACACGGTACCTCGTTTCAGAACATGGAGAAAATCCTGATCCGGCCAACAGCTTTCAAGCCAGTGCTACCCAAAACTCGGGGGGCACCATCCCTACCTGGCTTCCTGGGTCCTCGAGCTGCTGGGCTATCTGGGAGTCAGGGCAGCCTGACACAGCTGTTTGGGGGACCAGCTTCTTCCTCCTCCTCTTCCTCCTCCTCCTCTGCTGCTGACAAACCCTTGACACTGAGTGGCTGGGCCAGTGGCTGCCCATCGGGAACATTGTCAGACTCTGGTCGAAACTCTTTATCCAGCTTGCCCACCTACAGCACCGGAGGCGCTGAGCCGACCACCAACTCCCCAGGCGGGCACCTGCCCTCCCACGGCCCCGGCCGAGGGGCACTGCCTGGTCCAGCCCGAGGGGTCCCTACTGGGCCCTCCCACTCGGACAGTGGCCGGTCCTCCTCCAGCAAAAGCTCGGGTTCCTTGGGGGGCCGTGCAGCTGGGGGGCTATTGGGCAGTGGTACCCGGGCCTCCCCTGGCAGCAGTTCGGGTGGAGACCGTTCTCCGCCCCCTCCGCCCCCTCCGCCCCCTTCGGATGAGGCCTTGCTGCAGTGTGTCCTGGAAGGGAAGCTTCGTGACCGAGAGGAAGAGTTACAGCAGCTTCGGGACAGTATGGATGAGAATGAAGCCCCGGTGTGTCAGGTGCGGCCCAGGGCAGTCCTGGGGTGGTGTGGTAGGACACCCAGAGGCCTAGGAACAGTGCTGTTGGGGAGGGAGGGGATGAAGAATCACGGTGTTGCACCCCAAGGTTTTAGGCTTAACCTTCAAAGGAGTAAGGAGGCGGGGTTCGTGAAGTGGATCCAGCCCTGGCTCAGAGCGGCTGCTCTTTTTAACTTAACCTCACCAAGCCCAGTTTCCCGTCTAAATGGGAATAGTTCTGACTTCCTAGCGGGCTTATGAGGATTAAATAAGGCAAAAGGTATAAAGTGCTTGGAATAGTGCCCGACACCTGGGAAATGCTGTATCAGTGCTTGTTGTACTGTTGTAATATGCTGGGCTTGTGTGCGCTTCCCTCCTTCAGCCCAGGCAGGGAGCCACCCAAGCAGGAGAGGCTAGAGCTCCGGCGGGGAGGGGGGGACAGACACGCAGAAGGTTTCTAGCCTGCCTCCTTTCTCTAGGCGTTCGGGGCCCGGCAGAGGCACTGGCCACGAGAGCGGGAGGACTGCGCAGCCCAGGCACAGCAGGCCACGCAGCGTGTGCAGCGGGCCCAACAGCTGCTGCAGCTGCAGGTGTTCCAGCTGCAGCAAGAGAAGCGCCAGTTGCAGGATGACTTTGCACAGCTGCTGCAGGAGCGAGAGCAGCTGGAGCGCCGCTGCGCTGCCTTCGAGCGGGAGCAGCGGGAACTCGGGCCACGGCTGGAGGAGACCAAATGGGAGGTGTGCAAGAGGCGCAGGGCAGGCTGGAGGGGCGGGCCGCACTGGGCCACACTGCAGAGGGCGCCCCGGGGAGGCTGCCCTATAGCGCCCGCCCTTCCTCGCCTTTCTGGGTTGGGGTTTCCCTGGACCTCTATGTTGGACCTCACATGTCTGATCTGATGCCCACAGAGCATTGCCTTCTCTATTGGGTGGACATCGTTAATACATCCATTTTATGAATGAGGAAACCTGAGTCCCAGAAAGGGCTTCAGCCCCGAATTAAACTACCAGGGGCTGGGCTGAGATACGAGCCCAGGCAGTTTGTTTTGGATGCCCGTTGTCCATTTGTACATGTGGCCATTGTCTTGGATTTCCCCCACTCCAGACCTAGGCAGCACTTATTCAACCCTTTGTGTAAGGATCCCAGCATTGAAGGGGAGAGATCTGGGTCTCCTCTCCTTTCAGTTCTTACCAGAAGTATAACTATGGTTGTGTCACTAGACTGGCACCCTGCTGTGCCTCTGTGTAAAACAGGGAGACAGCGTCTTCTCTCCTGGGCCCAACACTCAGAGAGGCCTCACCATCCTTCCCCACTACTTTTTACCCACAGGTGTGCCAGAAATCCGGTGAGATCTCCCTGCTGAAGCAGCAACTGAAGGAATCTCAGGCAGAGCTGGTACAGAAGGGCAGTGAGCTGGTGGCGCTGCGGGTGGCCCTTCGAGAGGCCCGGGCTGCCTTGCGGGTCAGTGAGGGCCGTGCCAGGGGCTTGCAGGAGGCAGCCCGAGCTCGGGAGGTGGAGCTGGAGGCCTGCTCGCAGGAGCTGCAGCGGTATCGCCAGGAGGCTGAGCGGCTCCGGGAGAAGGCTGGGCATTTGGATGCTGAGGCAGCAGGACTCCGGGAGCCCCCTGTACCCCCTGTGCCCCCAGCCACCACCGACCCTTTCCTCCTGGCAGAGAGTGATGAGGTTAAGGTGCAGCGGGCAGCAGCTGGGGCAGGGGGGAGCCTGCGGGCTCAGGTGGAACGGCTGCGCCAAGAGCTGCAGCGGGAGCAGCGGCGAGGAGATGAGCAGCGGGACAGCTTTGAGGGGGAGCGGCTGGCCTGGCAGGCGGAGAAGGAGCAGGTGATCCGCTACCAGAAGCAGCTGCAGCTCAACTACATCCAGATGTACCGGCGTAACCGGCAGCTGGAGCAGGAACTGCAGCAGCTCAGCCTGGAGCTGGAGGCCCGAGAGCTTGCTGACTTGGGCCTAGCTGAACCAGCCCCCTGCATCCGCCTGGAGGAGATAGCCGCCACTGAAATCTAGGGCTTTTGCAAGGGGCACAGGACCACCTGGGTCCCAGGGTCCACGGAGCACTGCAGGTGTCAGAGCCCAAGGGCCTCTGCCAAGCACTCAGGTGGCCTTGTGACTTGGGGGAGCAAGATCAGACCCTTTGAGGTTCCATTTCACAGTCGCCCAGAGGCCCCTACACCACTTCACTCCCCAGCCGTCGAAGCCACTGCCAGCCTGGTTTGCCCCGGACGTGAAAGGGGCTACCCCACCTCCACAATCTACCTGCCTGAAGCCAGAGAGAGCCAGATGGCACCAGCTGCTCCAGATGTGCCTGCCGCCCACAGGCCCAGGTAGAGGGACAGGGCTAGGTCTGGGGTCTGATCCCCACGTCCCGGCTCTGCAAGCCTCTTCCGGGCTGAGGGGGCTGAAGTCAGACCAAAGGAAGAACTCAGCAATGTCTTGTTTATTTGTGTTTGTGACCAAGCAGCCCCTCCTAATAACCAGGTTTATGGCCTCGTTTTCACTTGTATATTTTTCCACACTGTAAATTTCTTGTACAAACCCAAAGAAAAAAAAAGAAAAAACTTTGTTTTTAAAGAAAAGGAAGCTGGATAAGGAAATGCAGGGGAACTTGTTTGATATTTGTCTGGGACATCTGTCCCCTCTGCTTGTTGGCTACCCACCAGCTTTGTGGAGTTCCTACCGGGAGAAAGGGTCATGGAACAACTAGTCCAGTTAGAATCTAGTCCTAGGACTGCTAGCTACATGAATCTTAGTAAGGTCTGAGGGATTAGAAAGTGTCCCATCCTGTCCTTTGCACCGAATGCAGCTTGAGCCTGGGGCACGGATGCAGTGACCTTGACTCAGAGTTTAAGCCCCCTGAGTTTGGGAAGCCAGGGGCATGAAAAACCTCACACCTGTTACAGGTTCAGACTTGAGTTTGTCTGTCCCCTCGCTGCAAAGCGGTCCAGGACAAGGGAAGGCAGGTGACACAGGTTGCCCACTAGAAGCTTGTACTTGGTCATCTAGCTTATTTAAAAGGCCAGCACTTTTGCAACAGCCCTGAGTGGATCAGAGCCACAAGCATGGTGGTCTCTCCAGGCAGGCAGATAGGACAGAGGGTATGAGCCCGTGTACAAGAAACCTGGGGGCAGCAGTAGTCCTTAAGGTCCATGGGGAGGGTCCTGGGGACCCTTAAGAAGAGCGGAGGGTTTGGGGGTACTCTGAGAACCCTGAAGGGCTGGGTTGAGAGTCTGTTGTAGATGCCTGGCCTCAGGGGAAGGGAGGTAGCTGGGGGCAATTGGGGTATTGTCAAGGGATCCATGGGCAGAGAAACTGTCAGCAGGAAGGCTCTGATCCTTAAAGGCTAATGGGGCAGAGGATAAGGGCAGCAGGCCAAGTTCAGGGATCCTGACCACAAGCTCCATAGGCTCCCGAGCCTTGTTCCTGTATGCTCTCCGGATGGTGTCCACGGCTCGTTGGTGGGTCACCTGCTCCAGAGTCTCCCCATCCACTGCCAACAGCTCGAAGCCAGCCTGGCATGGAGACAGTCCGCTTGCACATCATTCCCACCCACCACCCAACCTGAAGGCAGTGGCCTTTCACCCCTACTAGCTAGGGCGCTCCTATCTGGGTGCTGGGGATGGACAATAGAACATTTGTGCCTGGAGCTGTTGGGGGCAGGGTGGGGCACACACAATGGCCCTTTGTCCTTTGGGACTTGAGGTGGAACAGGATGGGCCATTCTCAGGCCTAGGCTAGCATGAGGGGACAGATTCTTTAGGCCTGCCATCCTACTGGCCTGACCTCTTTGCCCCCAAGCCACCTCCTACGACCTGGTCTGAACATGCCTGGCTGGAAGCATGTGAACTTCCCTGTCTGTACCCCTCAGCCCAGGGCCTACCGAGGCTTTGCTTCACCTACCTGCAGGGCCCCGCAGAGGGAAGCAGCGCCTCCTGGAAAGACCTTCTCTATCTTAACCATGGGCTGCACCTTGGACTCGATGCCCCCAGAAATGCTGATGCCTGGGGAGAGGTCCGAGCGCAGAGTGGCAGCCTTACCCCAAACCGTGAGCTCCCAGGAGGGGCGTGGAACCCAATCCCCTGAATCAGCCTTAACTTCTTCCCACCTCTGCGTCCCATCTCCTCTCAACCTCCAAACCTAGATTCCCCAACCACACACCTCAGTACTCAGGTTCCCTTCCCGCCCTCACCCCCAGCCATCCACCTTGCAGTGCCCCCTGAACTTACCCAAAGACTGCTTCATCTTGGAGAGTGTGACTGTCCTCACCTCTCCGGTGGCGGCCTTCCTGGTAGTCTCAGTTGGCCCACCAATGCCATTCTCCAAGGGCCCTTGTCTAGCTCCCACCTTGGCCTCTGGCCCACCCAGAGGTCGTGGGAGCGAGGGCCTTGCCTTGCGAGGCCTGTGGTAACGCCCATTGGCTGTGGTGGCGGGGGTGATGGGTGCTGGAGAAGGGGAGCGCCTGCGCCCAGGGGACTTGCCTCGACCTCGACTGCGACTTCGACTGCGGCTTTGGGCTGGGGTCTGCCTCTGGCTCTGCTGAGAGTCCTCTTTGCTTGGGGGTTCTGTGAGTAGCCAGTTAGGCCTGGGAGGCCGGGGAGCCACAGGAGGTGGTTGGGGAGGAGGTGCACATGCGCTTCGGCGAGGAGAGAAGGCATCAACTGGCACATCTTGTAGAGGAGGGATTCCTTGACGGTGATGGCGAGGGGCAGAGGCACCGAGAGAGACCTTAAGGCCCCCCAGCCTCTCCCTTATCTCTCCGTCGTCGTCGTCATCTTCTGAGCAGCCGTTCACAGGCAGCAAGTAGAAGCCTCCACGGCTATCTGAGGAAGGGGTTCAAAGCCAGCTTGTTGCTCTTGACCATCAGTCCCAGGGTGCCTTTCTGCTGTTTATAGGGTTCCCCAGTGTGTAAACAAGGACTGGATTTGCTCAGGTCTGCTGTAAAGTGTCCCGTGGTAAAGGAACTCCGCCCACTGGGGCAGGTGGACAAACATGACCTATTACTAATAGTATCCTAGCACTTTGTACCGTATTACAGTTCTACTTTAGCATAGCCAAGAAACCAGATTTAAGAGTTTTAAAATGCCCTATTCAGGAGTGAGCGGGAGTAAGAACAATGGCCTGGAGAACGCGGCTTTCCTTCCTGACTACAGTGATGCTGCATGGAGGCAAGGATGGATGGCCTGTCCTCCCTGTTCCAATATCCCCCGGGGCTTGTCCCTTTCCCTGGGGTTATGGGACTCCGACTGACCAGGCACAGGGGTGACGAGGTGACGCCTGGGTGGCGTATCTTGCCTAGTTGGTCTCAAAGCAGAAGGCCGAACTGGTTGGAGGGGAGGACAGGTCAGAGGTCAGGCACTGTGCCAGGCTCCCAGGTGGGCATGCCAACCTCCATTCCTACACCTGACTGGTGCTCAGGAGCCAGAAGTCCTGCTCCAACTGCTGACCTGCCCTGCTCTTGAGAGCCTCAAAAGCCTCCAACTCCACAGGCATCACCATGCTGTCAAAGCGGCCGAGGTCCGTGGGGGCCACCACACTCCTGGGGAAGGCAAGGGTGTGAGGGAAGCAGGCATGCAGGAGCTTCCCTCCTACGGTCACTGGGGCTTCTTGCCCCTCCCCTCTCTCAAACCCCTCCCAACCTGATGTCCCTCAGCAGCAGCAGCTTCTCCGGCCGGTCCAGGATGGCCAGCAGGGGGCGCACCAGATCCTCCACACCACCCTCATGGACATACTGTTTATGGAAACACCACAGGTCAGACAGCAGCAGAAACTCCAGAACTGGATGTGGGGAAACTCCAGAGCACACACGGACCCTGGGGCGAATCCAGTCATCCTCATTCTAGGATAGATTCACCCTATTCAAAGTCCACAAGATGGGACATCAGTAATTCTGTGCATGCCTTGAGGAGCAGCAGATCTGTAACAAATAGCAACGGCAATCATGGCATCTGGACAGGCAACTTTCTAAGTTTTTACATACAGTCTGTTACTTAGCAGCCACTGAGATGACCCCTGTTTTACAGAGGGAGGAACTGAGGCTCAGGGAGAATTTTCTCAAAGCCATGCTCTGGCAAAGGAAAATAAAGTGTAGTGAACTGCCCCACCCCCACCCCTCTCCTTCCCCCAGGCAAAAGGAAGGAATGTAAGCACAACTCTAGGCTGTGGTCCTGGCTGTCCCCACCCTTTGTTCAGAGCTAAAATGGTGACCTTGGGGAATGGGTGGCTCCACAGAGTGCATCTCTACTCAGTACCCTTCTGCCTGGCACTGCCTGGATGTTACCAGCCTGGATGTTACCAGCCCGGATGCCACACCCCATGGATTCTAGAGAACTGAATACAGGGAGCCAAGTTACACTGCCCCCTGGTGGTGAAAGGGAGACAGCTCCAGAGAGACCCAGGGGTAGTTACCTCCTATGGGGCATAGACACAGAAACAGCAGGCGCTCTGGTCATCTGAGTGAATCATCAATAGATATTAAGGGAAAAAATAAAAATAAAGTGTGTATATGTGTGTGTGTCTAAACTACACCCACAGTTACAGGGACTCATATCAACAACATGCTGCCATATACGTGCATGTCTCTCAAGTCCACAAGCATGAGTTCAGCCTCTACTGGTAGACCCCGGGGGGGGGGGCAAAAGAGGCCCAGAGATAATAAGACCCTCTCCAGAGCCTCAGGAACTCAAGTGGGAACAAGGGACAGATGAGCCTCATTCGGCAGAAACTGTAAACGGCAATGGGGTCTCGGAAGCTGGATGCAAGGGGCGGTGTGGGACTTGGGGAGGAAAGTGTCCTCAGGATGTGCAGAATAACAAGTAACACAGGTTTGCTGTGGTGTGAAGGGCCCACAAAGACCCTCCTATCAGGTGATTAGCAGCCTCTAAAACTGTGCAGCTTATAATTTGTATCAGCTGTGTGGTGGCCTAGGAAAGCTGGGTGTAGGGGGTTGGGATGTCACATTGTGGGGGGTGGGAGAAAGGAACTTGTCATCTATTCTGCCTCATAAGGGAACTGTAGAGCAATAAGGGAGGTAACTTGTGATTCTGGGCTCAGACAGGAGACAGGAAGCCAGGTTCAGGGCAACACATGGTAGTCACTGAGGAACATTGCCCATCTCTCAGGCCCGGGCTCATTTCATGTTTAGGGTGGGGGTGTTGGTTTGGATGTGGATCGTATGTAGAACCTACAGCGTAAATACAGTCACCGTGAAGCCCTGGTTTGAATAGGGCTGAGGGAACGGAGGGATGAAGAGAAAGTGCTGGCCACAGATACAGATACAGGGCCCCTCCTAGTGGCCAGAGCTCAAAGTTGCAAGCTCTCACAAGGCCTACTTAACCTGAGTGACAAAGGTTACCCTTGACAGGAACCTCCATCTGCGCTTCTGTTGTAAACCAGCCCTTGGTAAAGGGATGTGTGAACAACCCCACCTTAGGCTTTGAGTGATATTACGTGGGCACATACAGGCATGTTATGCTCAGACAATTACATGTAGGCATGTCAACCCAAACCGGTTACCCCAAGGACATGCCAGTGTACACATCACAACAATACCCGTACAGCCACATCATGAACCAGGTGAAGGCAGGAGTGATTTTCTAACACTGCTCAGCTTGCCTACAGTGTGCACTAATGCATGCTCCCTACAGGGAACCCACCACACAACCTTTGCGGTCCCTCGGAGAGAATGATGGGGAGGGGGAGGGCGGAGCATCACTCTGCAGCCTCCCCAACACTGAGGCACAGGGAGTCTTTTAAAACCGACCCCCCACAGACCCGGGGCCCTCCCTCTGGAACTGACTGGAGAGAAAGGAAACCTACTTGGGAAACAGGAACAGGCCCTTGGCAGAAAGGTCACACCTGCTGGCTGTCCCAGGAGTAGAGGGGGAGATGGGGGACAAGACTGGGGGTTAGAGAGGGCACAGTCCGTTGCCTGTGAGGATTCCCCCTCCCACTTACCACCTGTCTTCCTCATCTCCTCAGCTAACTGTCACCTCCTCTGAGAGGCCTTCCCAGATCTCCTGGGTTACCCATGTCTGTCTTTCACAGTGCTCTGACTGTCACCAGGGGGATTTAGATTCTAATTATTGTCTATCTTTCCTTCTTGCGTCTGCCTGGGAGTTTGCTGTGCATTGACCCCAAACAACAAACCCAGGTATCGGCCAACAGACAGTGGCCTGGGATGAGGGACCAGGCCTTGGGCAGAGACTTACCCGGGAGCAGTGGCGAGTGACTGCTAGTACCTCGTCGTCTGTGAGCAGCCTCCGGGCCAGGTCCTGGATGAGGGGCCGTCGACTTTCCCAGGCCTGTACCTGCCCTTCCACACTGGGCAGCTGGCCAGAGGGGCTTCCAGGCCTAGCGGAGAGCAGGGCCTGGCCCCTCTCCCGGTCTGTAGGGCGGGGCAAGAGGGTGTGAGGAAGGTGATGTGAGCTCTTCGCATCAGGTGGAGTTTCTCTTGGCAGGGGTGAGGCTCCAAACAGGCCAGCTGAGAGACTGAGGTACCCTGAACAGAGCCCCACTGTGCCCTTGCCCCTCATCACGGCCTTTCCTAACAAACTGCCATCAATAGAGGCAAACTCCAGCTCCTCCTTCATTGTTGTACTAATCTGTCCCCTCACTGGAGTATAGACGGGCTTCCTCACACCCAAGTGTCTTTGGAGGTCCCATCTCTGCACCCCCCATCTTTTCTAGTAAGTTAGCCAAGTTCTTTGCCAAGTTGCAAGCCAACAAGCCGGTCCTAGCTTGTACCCCCCCCCATCTGTTGCTTTACCATGGGGACCTTGGGATACTGGATTTACCACGTCTCAGTCTCCAGGTGACAAACTTCTGCACAGGTCCCATGCTCCCTGCTGTAAAGAAGAAAGGTTCAGATCAGCTGGAACAGGAGTTCCTGTGAGAAGTAGTCAGGGTGGGGACAAGTGCCTTTGTGACCTTCAAGGTCATGCCCAGCTAGGGACTTCATTCACAGGCAGTGGGGAGTCAGTGAAGGCTGTGGACCAGAAGAGGAGGCAGTAGGAGGCTTTTGGAGATTTACTTGGAAATGAATGGAGAGAACCCCAAGGGCAGAGCTTGGTGGTACCTACCTTCCAGAGACAGAGGGAGGAGGAGGGGCCTTGGAAACAGAGAAAGGATGGGCCAGAGAGGTGGGCTTCGAACCGTGAGAAAACAAGAACCTGGGAACTGAGAAGACGAAAAGGCGAAGGAGCTGGCCCAGCCTTGGTTTGGAGAAGCGTTTCCTCTGCTAGTCTGTCACTCTGAGGCCTCCAGAAAATTCTAAGGCAGGGCAACGTCCAAATTCTCAGTTTGCTTCCACTTCCCAGTGTTGGCTCCCACTTCTGGAAGCAGCCCCCTGCTTGCCTCCTGGGTGGCCCCCTCCAATCTCAGCCCATGCTTTCTGGCTGGGTGGGCAGGGTGGCTCAGGGTGGGCAGAAAAATCCCCCATCTACCAGGTCTGGGAGCTCCTGTCCTGTGTCTCCCCCTGCCACCCTGTTCCATCCCATCCCTCCATCACCCCTCCCTCACATCACAGCGGTTTGCTAAGCATGACAGATGACCAGGAGGCAGTGAAAGCCCTGACTGACCCCTGTAGGTCAGGTGAGGTAGCACATGGCTTTAATCCCAGCACTTGGGAGCCAGAGACAGGCAGATATCTGTGAGTTTGAGGCCAGCCTGGGCTACAACATGAGACCATGTCTCAAAAGTAAAAAAGACAGCTGTGGTGGTACACACCTTTAATCCCAACACATGGGAGGTAGAGGCAGGAGGATCTCTGTGAGTTCAAGGCCAGCCTGGTTTACAGAGTGTGTTCCAGTACAGCCAGGGCTGTTACACAGAGAAACTCTGTCTCTAAAAACCAATCATCATCATCATCAAGCTCAAACAACAAAAATTCCCTGTCCCAAGGGTTGCTAAGGGACAGTGGCCATCTCTCTTTCATCGGAGGGAGATATGTCTGTTGGTATTGTTCCTTTAGTTAGGCTAAAGTCAGTGGCTGAGCCTAGAAGCACGCTTTAAAGCTAACTGGATTTGAGTTTCTGTCCCATGCAATTGTGAGTTTTACCGCACCCATATTAGGTCTGGTCTCTGAGTCTCAAAAGAGTTGACAGGCTTCTTGTGAAGGTCCTTAGGAAAACTCTGGGGCTGGAGCTGGAACCCAGTGGTAAAGTGCTCACCTAGCATGCCCGGAGCCCAAAGCTTCAACCGCCATGACTAATGGGGTGGGGACAGTATCCCTGCCTGAGTCCCTTCCATCTGAGCCGTGGTTGAGAAGTGGCTTTCCTCAGGGGTAGTTCTAGGACTGGGTTGGACCTGTGGAGCTCTGGATGGAGGGTGTGAAGCCAGGGGTCCTAGCCAAAGAGCTGCCCATTGCCACCACAAGCTCATGGCTGAGCTCCAGAGCTTCTTGCTGTACCTTGGGTCTGTCACTTTACCCTTCTGAAAAGATGGGAGATGGCAGGGTGACAGTGGCTACCCCATTTTCGGAGCACCTTCTAGGGGCTAGACCAAGTGCTGCCGTATATTCACCCATTCGGATTTTCTATGTGCCCAAAGAAAGGAGCTTTAGCCCTTCCATTTTACTTGTGAGGGTGAGTGGTGTGGTAGGGTAAGGTTTCAACTGGAACTGCCAGTTAGATTCCAGCATATACCTTTCTCCAGGTCCAGGCGAGGGCGGACTTTGGTGGGGCTTCTGCTGTCCAGTGTCCAGGCCTCTCTGTGCCCGTCCCCTGCTGGCCGCCCCTGACGCCCTCCCTTGAAGAAGAGGTTCATCAGTGTCTTGGAGCGCTGCAAGGCCCCGTTCTCCCCCGGGGTCCCTGACTTCTCCTTCTTCCGCTGTTTCTTCTCCTCTGTAGACATGAGGGAGCCCCCGGGGGGCTGGAGGGTAGGCAGGAGAGAACCAGGGTGCAGAGGGGTAGGAAAGGGCAGAGAGAGGGAGAGGAGCAGAGGGCATCTGCAGCCATCCCAGAGTGGCCATGGTCTTCCACCTCACCCCTACCATACAGCTCCAGGGATGTAGGGAATCTGGTGTGTGTCTGTAACTAAACAGGTCTGGGCATCCCAGGCTGGAGAAATTGGAGTTGGGGCTGGTTTAGGGCCCTGATCTTATCAATTTGGGGGCTGAAACAGAGGGTGGGTTTGGGGCCCTGGCCTGTTTATAAAGTGAAGCCTAGAGAGGAACCTGAGAGTATTTTGGGACTGGGCCTGGGACCTGGCCTAGGCCCCGGGATTTGGGCAAAGGCAGATTTGGGATTGCTCCTTGGTTGTGGGTCAGGCTTTGTTTGGACTAGGGGCTGTGACAAGAGTGGCACCCTCCCAGCATACCCCACAGTGTCAGGTGGCTCTGAGACCGTGTGATGGGAGGCCTGGGTCGGCTCAGGGCCAGCAACAGAGCAGTCTTGGGCGACTCCGAAAGTGCAGAATCAAGGCGTCGGGTAGAAGAGGGACCATCAGAGCAGATGGCCGTGTCTCTGAGGATGACAGTTGGCCTTACGCTGCACCACGTTTCCACACGGCTGCCCATGTCAGGCTCAGTCTGCATGGCTGTGTCTGCTCGCCCCCAGCCTGGGCCGTGGCCACTGGGCTCCTCCGGCCCCAGGCAGACATCCATGTGGGCAGAGGGCAGTGAGCCTGAGCTGCAGGGGACACTGCCCGCATAGGAGGAGATACTGGAGCCACTCTCTGAGGCTGGGGACAGCTGCTGTAATACCCCATTGCTCACTACAAGGGAGAGGAAATGAGGTAGCTCAGACATCGGCTTGGCTTTCTTCCCCGGGGGCCCTGCATGCTCACACACTGCCTTTGGGCTTTGGGGTGGCTCAGAGCTGCCACCTGCTCAGATTGTCACCTACATCAGGGAGCCCTGGGAAGTCGCTTCTTTTTCCTTGTCCACGGGACTTGAGGCCTAGAACACCCTGGCATTGAGTCTGGGAGCCCTCAGTTAAGGCTGTGAGCAGCTCTGGGCTGCAGGAAGGTCCTGAGGGCATCTTGGTCTCCTCACCTCTCATTCCCCCCCCCCCCCCCGCAAGAAGCCCAGCCTCGCCCTTGGGCTCCTCCCTTCCATCAGTAGGAACTTACATCTATCCAGCCAGCAGTACTCTGAAACCATCTCTTTGTAGGCAGGGTACCGGCCAGTCTCCTGGAGAACACAGGGCAGGCATCGGAGGAGCAGGTGAGAAGTCAGGAGGGATGGGTTGGGGATGAGAGTAAACTGGGTCCACCGGCTTACTTTCTAAACATGCTAATTCCCTCCCCAGCTCAGGCCTTTCTCCTCCTGTACTAATCACATGGCTAGCTCCCTTCTTTGACTGCCACTGCCTCTTGACTCTCCTCTTGTCTTGACTACAAGGCGCTTCCTCAACTATCCCACTCCCCTTCTGCTAATTTCCTGACAGGGTTTGTCAAAATCTGATGGCCACCGTCCCCCAGGAGCAGAGGCCTCGTTGGTCTACCCTGATCTCCGTGCAGCTCAGCACCTGACCTCCGAGGTGCTCAAAAATACTGTTGAGGGGCTGGAGAGACGGCTCAGTGGTTAAGAGCACTGACTGCTCTCTCGGAGGTCCTGAGTTCAATTCCCAGCACCCACAGGGTGGCTCACAACCATCTACAGTGGGATCTGGTGCCCTCTTCTGGGATGAAGGCGTACATGCAGATAGAGCACTCAATGTACATGAAATTAATAAATAATTTTAAAAAATACGGCCAGGCAGGCTGGTTCATACCTAGAATTCCGTGCTTGGGAACCTGAGAAAGGGGATCTTGAGTCTAAGGCCAGCTGTGGCTACATAGGGAAAATGTAGCCTGGGCTATAGAGTGAGGGCCTCAAAACAAAACAAAACAAAACAAAAAAAACAACACACGCATACACGGCAGAGTTAGCAAATGAATTGGGGAAGAGCTGGAGTTAGAAAGAATGCCCCAGATAATTAGAAAGGGGAAGATGTGTGTGGGAGAGAGGCTGGGGTGAGCCCATGACTCAGTGAATGAAGCTGGGTGCCAAGCCAGGGAGAAAGGACAGAGCAGGGAGCCTGGCGGACCCAAGGGAAGACTGAGTCACTACTCCTGTGCACACAGATAGAGCAAGACCTTAAGCAGGCATGACAGCCATGTGAATAATGAAACCAACCACCTCCTAGAACCCCAAACTCTGCTGTAGCCCAGTCTTTTTTGCCCTGTGTGTGCCTCCGGGGGTCCCCACAACCCAGGTCTTGTACACAGCTAAGCTCCCACTCCATACATTAGTCCTTCACCTTGAGGCCTTCCCCCATGCCGAAGGACAGCTACTATGCTAGAAATATGGGAAGCCCGATCAGAGCCAGGCCCCGCTGCTGACCAGCTGAGGGACAACTGACTGCTGCCTCTGTGAGCCTCAGCTCGCTTTTTTTGCCAAGTGGGCATGACAAGAATTTCTGCTGTCCCTTCTACGGGGCTGTGGGATTAACACTAGTGGCAGGGCCAGCAGTCTAATTAAGAACTAGGGTGTTTTGAGACGCTCCAGCCATAGTCTGGCCCCTCCCCGCTCCCATGTCATCTGGCCCACCTTGATGGTCAACATGATGTGTGTTTGGCCCTTCAGCAGTTCTACGGCCTGGCTGTGGCTGATGTCATCAAACCCGACACCGTTGGCCGCCAGGACCTGGTCCCCCACTTTGATGCCATTCTCCTCAGCCAGCCCACCATGATCCACTCTGGGGATAGACAAGTGTTGCTCGATAGCACCCTGGCCCGCCTCCCTCCCCCACAACGCAGACCCCCTTCACTTGGCTATAGGAAAGCCCACCTTCATCCCTTGGGCCTCTTCCGATTGACAACACCCTTTCACCAGGGCCTAGCCCGAAGGGGCCCTCATTTGGACGTTAGTTGCTGAGCCTCATGTTGACCCATCCCCAAACTTTTCTTCCAGCTCTGCCCCGGCCCCATACCCAGCTATTCCATTTCGCCCCAGCACTCACTTAGACACATAGATGCCCAGGCCGAACTCCTTGCCCCCACGGATGTTGAAGCCCAGGCAGAAGTCATCAGAGGTTGTATAGAGATGGACAATGCGGCGCATGCCATCCTCTGAGCTGCTGTCCGAGGGTGTTGAACTGCTCTTTTCCACCACTAGCCGCCGGTTCACTACATCCACCCTGCCACAACACAACAGCCCCACCCTAGGTCCTCCGGGAACATCCAGCCTAACAGCCTTGGCAACTGATTGGATAGGGGATGACTGACCCTCTTGGGGTGAGGGGGGGGGCTTCTCCTGGCCCCAAATCTTCAGTGCATTATAGGTTTCATCAAACCTATGAAACAATCTGAATCACCCATCTACTAAGCAGTTGCAACATTTGGAGGCCCATTTCCCTCTTGTGTTTGGTTTTTGATGCTGCCTGCCTGGACTATGCTAAGCATCTAATCTATCATGATCTCTGTCCTCCCCCCTCCCCAATCCCAGAGCTCCATTTCTGCTCCTTACAAGTCCCCATGCAGAGATGCCCAGAGAGCAGAGCCCCTGGGCAGGGGCAGGGGCAGGGGCAGGGGGGTCTGAGCAAGGTCGGGCGCTACTCACCATGTGGTCTTCTCCTTAGAGAACTTGATGCCGGGCACACGGCCAATGCGCCGCACCATCATGTGCAGGCAGCTGCTGCTGGTCAGCAGCCTCACAGCGCTGCCCATCGTGGTGCTCTCTAGACTCAGCCCGTTCACCTCCGTGATCTTGTCCCCCACACACAGGCCAGCACGCTCTGCTCAGGAGCGGGGGAACGGTGAGTCCTCAAAATGGGCTCTACACGCCCGCCCGCCAGAAGACACTAGGCTGTGTCCCCTAACCCACACAAGAGTGAGCGCTGAGGAGAAGTGGTTCCTATCCTTGGCCACCTAGCTTTTGCTACCCATGGAAGCGAGGTCACATCCCAAGCCATGCTCCCCCTGCTCACCTGCACTGCTCCCCTCCTCCACCTTGCTGACAAAGATGCCCAGGCCATGCTCAGAGCCACCTCTCACGCTGAAGCCCAGCCTCCCAGAGGAGCTCTTTTCCACCCGGACGGCGTGGATGATGTCACTTTCATCACTGTTGGCTGAGGATAAGCACACGGGTATGACCTCCATGTTAATTCTGGCAACCAAACATCTGGAGTACCCAACTCGGTGTCTGCAAAGATTAGGCTTCTGTGCAGAGCCACCCAGATGATACAGGGAGATGGTGTTCAAGGCCCCTCTGGGTAATTCGGAGACCACAGACCAGTCAGTGACAGTACAGGAGCAGGTGGGAACAGCTCGATTATATTCCATGCTCTTCCTTTGCATCCTCCCTCTCTCTCTGTGTGTGTGTGAGATCTCTTCTGAATTCTTATGTCCAATCTCTGAAAATTTGCCTTTCTGAGAGCAAGGTGGGTAGGTAGAGAGGAAGGTTCAAGATTCCAATTTGGGGAGTCTGGGCTCAGCTCGCAACAGAATGAGCTCCAACTTCAGTCAGCCTCAGAACTGTCCATAGAAGTCAATATATGCTCAGTGTAACTTAAGGGCAGGACCAAGCTTGCACAGGGGCGTTAGACAGGGACAGATGATAGTAAAGCTTTTCATCCAGAGGCATGAAGGCTGAAACTTAGTCGCTGACAGGACCTCACGGAAAAGGTGCTGAGGCCTCTTCTGGCTCACAGACTCCGATTCTAGGGATACAGCTCTAGGGACTACATGGCTTCCTGAGGACAGAACCTCCAATTGAGCGTGCTACATGTCTCCCTGGAGCCCCGGGAAGAGGCAGAGGGGATAGATCCACAGGGAAATGAGATGGGAGAGATTAGCTGCTGAGTGACAACTGACAAGTGTGCCAGGCAAGAAGGGGAGATTTATTTTTCCTTCAGGCAAGGTTTACTCTAGAGGTGCTTGAGAAGGAACACACACACACACACACACACACAGAGAGAGAGAGAGAGATACAGAGAGAGAGACAGAGAGAGAGAGAGACAGAGAGAGAGAGTTTGATCTATCAGCTTTCAATGTGTGACCAGCACAGTTGGGGCTGAAATCTCCGAGGACGGTCTGGACAGGGTGATATAGGACAATTGCCATTACACAGTTCTCAGGCCCCATTAGCCTTATCAAAAAAGCCTCCCTGCCCACAGTCCACTTCCCCCCCCCCATGTCTCCCTGGGGACCCCTATGCCCTGGGCAATTGGGATGTCACATCTGAGGCTTTGTTTGTTTTAGTTTTCATTTATTATAGTCTCACTACATAGCTCTGGCCATCCAGGTAGACCAGGCCCAGGTAGACCAGGCCCAGGTAGACCAGGCTGGCCCAAACTCACAGAGATCTGCCTGCCTCTGCCTCCTGAGTGCTGGGTCTAAAGGTGTGCGCCACGCCCTGCTACATCTGAGCTTTGAGAACTGTAGTGTGGCTTCTCTGAGGATGGAATCTAACTAGGCTACTCACCCTCCCTGAAGCTCCCTAGCCATCTGCTTGCTTCCCATTCTATGTCAGCCCTTCCTGTCTGTTTGACAGGCTGCCCCTGGCCCCGTGTGGCCCTCCATACCTTTCTCTGACACCTCTATCATTCTCTCCTCCATCAGTGGGCTTCAGCCATTCTAATGGGTTTTTGTTTGTTTGTTCAGCTTGTAAAGATTTATTTACTTATTATGTATACAGAGTTCTGTCTGCATATATGCCTGCAGGCCAGAAGAGGGCACCAGATCTCATTATAGATGGTTGTAAATTACTGGGAGTTGAACTCAGGACCTCTTGAAGAAAAGGCAGTGCTCTTAACCTCTGAGCCATCTCTCTAGGCCCCATTCTGGTGTGTGTGTGTGTGTGTGTGTGTGTGTGTGTGCATGTCCCTCATTTGAGTTAGAAACTGTCTCCTCCTATAATAGTTTCATTTTGGCTTTGGTGGAGGTTGGGAGGGGTTGGCTCCTTTTCTTACCCTCTCTCATTAGACATCACTTTCTCAGCAAAGCTTGGACCAAGGCATGATGTCAAAGTAGCAGACACTGCATCACTGGAAAACTTGTTAAAATGAGACTCCTGCAAGGCCCTCTGGCAGATGCATAGTCCTGAGGTGAGCAGCTTGGAGCCTTGTGTGTTAGGCGATGCCTCTGCCACACTGAGCTACAATCCCAGTCCATGTTATTTTGTGACAGAGTTTTATATGCTATGTAGGCCACGTTCACCTTGAAGATACCACTGCAAGTCCTGGCCTTGGGAGCAGACACCGCTATATCTAGCTGTAGTTTTTGTTTGTTTTGGGTTTTGTTTTAAATTTAAGACACTGTAGCCCAGACATAATATCTTATCACCTAGAAGACGGAAGCCTGTGGATGGGGAATACAAGGTCAGCTCAAGTGAAACTTTGTCTCCAAAGCAAACAAGCCAGTGTAGCTTCCCAATTCTGAAATCTCAATACTCTGAAGCTGAGGAAGGATTGTTACAAGTTTGAGGCCAGTGTAGTCTACATAGCAACTTCTAAGCCAGTCAGTACTCTACAGTGAGAATTTATCTGAAAAAGAGACAACAGCAAGGGGGGCTTCGTGGTGAAGAGCACTGGCTGCTTATCCAGAGGTCCTGAGTTCAATTCCCAGCAACCACATGGCTTACAACCATATGTAGCGGGATCTGGGGCCCTCTTGCATAAAGTGTAGTCATATACAATAAATAAGGTAAAGAAGAAAAGAAACAACTAGCTGGTTGGTGATAGCTCACACCTTTAATTCCAGCACTCTAGAGGCAGAAGCAGTCGGATGGATCTCTGAGAGTTCAAGGCCACCCTGGTCCACAAAGTGAGTTTCAGGATAGCCAGGGCTGTCACACAAAGAAACCTATCTCAAACACACACACACACACACACACACACACACACACACACAATGAATTTTTTTTAAAGCAAAATAAAATAGCCAAAACACTCACTCCACAGCTTAAATCCTGGATGTCAATAAAATAAAATAAACCCAACCCTGCCTTTAATCCCAGCACTCAAGAGGCAGAGGCAGGCAGACCTCTGACTTTGAGGCAAGCCTGGTCTACAGAGTGAGTTCCAGGACAGCCAGAACTACATAGAGAAACCTTGCCTTGAAAAACCGAAAGAAAAAAATTAATTATGTATTTTATGTATATGAGTGCTCTTTCTGCATGCAGACAGAAGAGGGGATCTGATCCCATTATAGATGGTTGTGAGCCACCATGTGGGTACTGGGAATTGAACTCAGCACCTCTGGAAGAGCTGCTAATACTCTTAACTGATAAACCATCTCTCCATCCTCCCCATTGATTTTTTTTTAAAAATTACATTTATTTATTTATTTAGTGTGTGTATGCACACACACATGTGGATGCCGTGGCACATGTGTGAAGTCAGAAGTCAGAGAACTACTTCCAAGAATCAGCTCTTTAGTAGAGCGTGGGTCCTGGCAATTAAACTCAGGTCATCAGGCGTGGCATCAGGCGTGGCATCAGGTGCCCTTACCCACTGGGCCATCTCACCAGCTTCCCCACCCCCAATCTACCTTCTAGTAAATTCTCCCAGGCAATTCTGGCATACTGTAAAGTTTTAGGAACCTTTTCATGTCTACTGGTCTCCAACATTTATTTTTCCTTCAGAATTTTTCTATCTTGTGTATTATTGTTCATTTGTGCATTACTTCCTGTCTTTTGGAAGTCTGCAAGCTTTATCATGGGGTTTTGTAGTTTTTTCTCACCAATAATACATCCCTAGCACATTGCACAGTGTATGGAGTCTGACAAACATATTAGGTAAATAAATAGATGAGTGAATGAGGAAAAAAAAAAAAGAACAAATTAGGAGAGGAAGAAAGGAGAGAGGGCTGGTTAGAAAGGGTCATGACTCCTGCCTTCTGGCTCCTCTGGGGACTTCTACTTCTTGGTCAGAAGGGCAAGAAGGGCAATGGTGACCTCAGCAATGCCTTGCTGCTTGCCTGAGCATAGGACCTACAGTGGTCAATGAACGTGGCAGCCATATCCTGGGCATCCCGCCCCACCCCTGCCCAGCTGACTTTGGAAGGGGAAAGAGACTCCCAGTTGCATTGGAGGACACACCAGGCCTGAAAAGCCCAGCCTGGGATCCAGCCAGGGGAACTGTGCTGGCTCCGAGAGAGGAGAGCAACTAGAGATATGTATCTGTCCTGTCCACAGAGAGGCCGGCCCCGCAGGGCTTCGCTCCCCTCCTGGCACCTCACGGTCCTGTCTTGCTCACCAGCTCTTTGTCGCCTCACATCTGTCACTGCAGTCCAAGCCCTTGGCCCATCATGTTTCACTTCTGACCTTTGTGGGGGACATCTGCAATCCCCTCCAGCTGTTCTTGCTGCTGTGTCTCTAGGTTGACTATGCTGCAGTCCCTGAATGGTGAACACTGAGCTTCACCTCTCAGGTCCCCTGCAGGACCTAACCAGGGCAGGTACAGAATCGGTGTGCAATGGCATCGTTTCAGGCAGCCGTACACCATCATTCTCCCCTAAGGATCCAACTCTGGGGTACACAGCCTGGCTCTCAGCCTTCCTATTGTTTGCCCCCTCCCTTTTTCTCAATATATGTCCCTTAGTCTTCAGGCCCCTCCCCTCATGCCCTGAAGCCTGGGCACTGACTCTCCACAGTCCAGCACTAAAATGGTCACACAGCTTATTGGTTAATGTAAGATCTCCTCCATCCTGCTCCACTCCCTAAGGTACACACAAATAGGTCAGGGACCAAGGGACGGAGGGGCTGACGCAGCACTCTGCATTGTGAATCCCTGGGGCTTCCATTCCCCCGCCTCTGATCCTTCTATAGCCCTGAAGATTTAAAATTTTGGCTGGAGGAGAGGAAAGGGTAAATGAAAGATGATCCCCTTCCCATCTCTTGAATTTCCCTAACCATACCGGCTCTAATCAACCCTCATCCTAATCGGTCCTTGTTGTCCTCAGAGATCCCCATCCAAGCCATTCTTGAGCCCCACACCCACCTTCAATGGGGGAGTTGATGAGGATGACTCGGCCCATGGGTGATGAGGCTCGGATTCCACGGGGGGGCCCATTGAGCAGGCGCTGCTGCTTCCTAAGCAAGTATCGTGTTGCTGTGGAGCCCAAGTCGCTGCCCAGATGGCCTCGGGAGGAGAGGGAGCTCAGAGAACTGGAGCTGAGTTCTCCTAGACCCGATGGGTCAAAGGCCACTGTGAAACCACGTGCCATGGTGGAGAGGCTGGGGCACTGCCCTACAGATCCAGAGGAAGTTTGCTTGCCCTCCAAAGGTTGGCTGTTGGTGTTCGGGGCTCCATGAGCATGCTCAGTGGGGCTGGAGTCTCAGCGAGGCGGATGGAATCCGTCACTCTCAATGCTTACAAGTGTGGGTTCCAAATCTGTATAGGAAGAGCAGGGTTGGGAGAGGCATAGGGCCATACTATTGTACTCCACACGCCCCCTTGCCTTGAGAATCCTGTCCTCTCGTTTCTTGGGCCCCTTACTTCTCCCACCCTGGGGCCAGAGGAAATCTACCCAGTTCAGAACCATCTTGGATTTTGCGAGCTTTATCTACAAGGCCATTGAGGAGCTCTCTTTCACCCCTCATTGCTGCTCTCGACTGAGTTATCCACCGGTCTCCAGAACTCAGTTGAGGTTCAGAGAGTGGAGATAGGATTAGAGTAGGCTCTTGAACTTTAAAAGGAGCGAGAAAAATGGGTGTCAGGACAGTTCAGTGCAGCATCTTTCCTGTGTGTATATATGGATAGGGGCTAGCCTCCAGAGCTGGACTTCAGGACCTGGGACAGCTGCAGCCGAGCTTGCCCCCACCGCCACCCCAAAGTGACCGCTAGGCTCCGAACTGCCGCTGTGGAGATAAAGCCGCTGCGAGACCCTATCCCATGACTGGTGATCCGCTAGTGCAAAACCAGGCCCGCGCCCTCCAGAGCATCATTGTGAACCCCCCCCACACACACACAAATAGACTCCCCACTGTGGGCCTTCCTGCCCCGCTACCTCTAAGTCGGCCCCTCACCTGGTCGCTTGTGCAGACGCCCGCTTCGCCCGCCGGCTGGCGCGAGACGCTGAACCAGCTAAGGACCCCGCCCACGCTCGGTGCGGCTGCGGGAATAAGGCTGGCCTGCACGGTCCTGGGATTCCATTGGCTGCTGACGCCGCCAGTCATTCTTTTCTGGCACCTTTGGTAGCCGGTCCGGATTGTAGCTCGTCACCTGCCTGGTACCTCTGGGATCCGCCCGCCCCAATTCTGAACCCCACCAGTCGTGGGAATTTAGGGCATCTCTGGAGCCCCGCATTGGCGACTAGAAACAAGTCTTCTCCAGGCCCCCTAGCTTTCTGGGCTCGTGAAGTTGCTACCCCTTTCGTGGTCACTCCTGAGGTCTCTGTGGGAGAATGTCACAAGCAAAAGAGCCGAATGTGAACCCGAGATGAGCAGGAACGAAAGCTGGAGCCTGGTGTGTAGGGGCCATGCTCTGGGTGCTAATGGGTGAAGTGTGTGTATGTGTGTGTGTGTGTGTGTGTGTGTGTGTGTGTGTGTGTGTGTGTAAGAGAGAGAGACACAGAGAGACTGTGCGCGCGCGCAATACCCTCTTTACATTCTGAGTTGAAAAGTGGGCACCCTGTTCTAGAAAGTCCGCAACACGGAGCAGCTGATCCCAGCACACTAGGAGGACAGAAATCTGATGCTCCAGCTTAGATGCAAGAGGCAGAGATCACGGGAGACTCTGGCTGTGCACATCCCAGGGGCTGGAGCTTCGGTCTGTGCACGGATAAGTGTTGGGGGCGTAAGGAAACTGCTGGTACAGCGGAGCTGGGGGTTGGGTGGGAAAGAGGGCTGGGGACACAGAAGGAGCACAGGCACCACAGGAATGTGGCTGGGAAGGGATGCAAATGGTTAGGATCTGCGAGAGAGTAGCAGACCAGGGGGCCAAGCAGACGCAGGCCCATTGCCAAGGCAGCCATCAAGTAAACAAGCAGTAACCCGAGTCCCTCCAGGCGGCGCACTATCAGAGGCCCGCCCTCCAGGCCGCTCACCCGTGCCCAGTGCACCTAGACCGGGTGCTGCCGAGTCGGGTGCCTCCCGAGGCAAGCCAAGGGACTGCAAGCGAAGGAGGCAAGTGGGGCGGCTCCTCCCCTCCTCTTTCTTGTTGGGAAGGCGGCCAGAACTGCTACCCACGACTGGGTCGGGTCTGTTCTCAATGTCCTGGTCTGGGGGAGTCGCTCTACTTGACATCCACTGCCCCGGAATTCTGCCAAGCCGGGGGCGGATTGGGCGAAAGAGCCTAGGGAGCCCCCGCCCTTCCCTGCTGCTCAGCGTCACGCGTGACGTCCTGGTGATGGATGGGAGGAAAGCAGAGAGCTGTGAGGAAGGCGGGTCTGAGAGCTGCTAGAGGCTGAAACCCCGGAAAGCGTGAGTGCTTGCTGCCTTGGGAATCTTCAGAGTGTGGGGGTGAGGGCCTGGGGTCGGAGGAGGAGGCTTGCCTTGAAAGGCGCTCTCTGTCTTGTGGGGCTTCCGTATTGCAGGGTCAGTTAGGATCTGTAGGACACAAGGAGGGGGTGTTTGGGTGAGGCTGTGTGTAGGCATACTTTCAAATGTCTGCACCTCATAGATATTGCTGTGTGTGTTTGTGTGTGTGTGTGTGTAACGGTATTCTGGATGATTGGCTAGTGTATTCAGTGTGGGTCTAACCTGTTTGTGTGCCGGGGAGGGCGTGCATGTCTTTGTGTGTGGGTATTTGAGAGTCGGCTAGGGGCGTTGTCTACTGTGAGGGAGGAAGTAGAGTTGGAGGGGATTAGTCATTCTGCAGGATTTTTGCCTAACACAGCCAGATGGCTGCTCCTGGCATTTCATTTTGGGCTGGGTGGAGGGACATCCACTTAGTCTTGCCTTTCTCTGAGGTGGATAGCCCAGAGAGAGTTGCATGGACGTCTGTGTCAGCTCTATTCAACCAAGGACCAGGGATAGTCCTGGGTTTTTGTGCAAGAGTTGAAGCAAATGGATTTGATGGGGATGTGTGCATGCTCTCCTCCTCACAAATGGCTGCCACTAGAGTGTTCTGTCTAAGATCTGGTACTGATCAGCCCTCAGGTGGCTACTGATCCTGGTCTTCTCCAATCAGGGGCCTGAGTGTGCCATGGATTTTGCTATCTTCCCAAACAGCCTTGAAAGTCTTGTTTGTTTTTATCGAGGTTTTAGAGCAGCGGGGGCTGAAACTGAAGTGAGCTGGGATGTGTTATCCATGCTCCTACAGCAGGAGCTCAAGATAGCTGCCCCGGATTAGCTGCCACACACCTGTAAATCCTCACTCTGTAAAATCTGCACCGGGCCATTGTGAGGAAAGCTATATACACTCTTGGTTCTGGTCTTCCCCCCCCCCTTCCTCAGTCTCTATAGGCCTGGCTAAAACACTACCTAGGACACAACTCCTCCCCCACCCTAGCTTACCTATCTGGAGTCACCTTGAGCTCTTGCAAGGACTGCTCATAGTTTCTAGGAACAGGGTAGAGCCACCAAATTTTCCCCAAGTGAACAGGGCAGAGCCACCAAAGTTTCCCCAAGTGAAGCCCTTGGACCTGATCCTTGTTCTTGCTGCCTTGCAGAAGATGGGTGACTTGCCCTTGGATATCAACATCCAGGAACCTCGATGGGACCAAAGCACATTTCTGGGCAGAGCCCGGCATTTCTTCACAGTTACTGACCCTCGAAATCTGCTGTTGTCCGGGGACCAGCTGGAAGCTTCCCGAAACATTGTGCAGAATTACAGGTGAGCCAGCCTCCAACCAGGTGACAGTGACACAGCACTTCAGGTCAAAGGATCTTAGGACATTGCGGTGAGGAGACAGCATTGGATTTATGGGTAGGTGGCAGCTCAGCAGTTCACAGATCCCCTGTAATGCAGATTCCCAGGGCCTGCAAGAACAAAGGGGCCCAAAGGAGAGCCCCAAGCAGAGAGACAGGCAGTGACCCTCTTCTCTTCAGGAGTTAACTCTTAGAATGCCCTCAGTCATTTCAGGCTCTTTGAAAACCACCATCTCTGTGATCCTGGAGAAAATACAGGGCCAAAAAGGATGTAGAAAGAGCAAAGTTCATGCATGAGAGGCCTTGGCCTCCCCCATGGACAAGGTGCTCCTTTGCTCTGCGCTTTAGTGGCAAAGTTCCTGGTCCTTTGCCCAGAGTTCCCCGAGGCAAGCAGCAGAGACAGGAAGGGCAGGTCTGACCCCTACAACAGCCTGTTGGTACCTTGCCAATTCCTCCAGGGCTGGTGTGGCAACCCCAGGGCTCACCGAGGACCAGCTATGGAGAGCCAAGTATGTGTATGACTCTGCATTCCACCCGGACACAGGGGAAAAGGTGGTCTTGATTGGCCGTATGTCAGCCCAGGTGCCTATGAACATGACCATTACCGGCTGCATGCTCACCTTCTACAGGCAAGTCTTACCCACATCCCCTTCAGAGTGCTGTGTCCCAGAACATGGCAGGGTGACTAGAAGTCTCCTTTCTGCTCCCTTTTGTGTAAAAAACAGTGTGTGTGTGTGTGTGTGTGTGTGTGTGTAAGAATTCTTTCCATTTCTCAGAACCCAGCCTCCATTTGTCTAAGTTGAGGGCAACAAGGGCAAGCTCTGGAACCATCAGTTAAGTCCCTCTTGAAGAACTCAGAGAGTTTCAAAATTGGGGGGTTCGGGGACCAGAGGGATGGCTCTGTGGTTAAGAGTACCGGCTGTTCTTCCAGAGAACCTGGGTTCAAATCCCAGTACCCACATGGCAGCTCACAACTTTTTGTAACTCAAGTTCCAATGGGTCTGGCGCCCTCCCACACACATAATTCAATAGTGGGGGTTCAAGAATGGGGGAACAATGTGGAGGGACACACATAAGTAGTCCATCTTTGCACCCTCAGGAAGACGCCGACTGTGGTGTTCTGGCAGTGGGTGAACCAATCCTTCAATGCTATCGTGAATTACTCCAATCGCAGTGGGGATGCGCCCATCACCGTGCGGTGAGAACATCCCTCCCCACCTGTCCCTGGTCCTTGTGGACCCCTGTGCAAAGTATGTGTTTGGATAGCGCCTGAGGGCATTCTGTCCTTCTGTGTCTGTTTTGGGGGACCCACTCTGTTTAAAGAAGGAGGCGTACTTTGACATAACTTTACATGAAGCGGGGACAGCTTTCAGTGAGGCTCCCCTCTGACGCCCCTTGCGTTGGTAGTGTACAGTGTCCTTAAAGGAAATGCATGCTGGACTCCAGCTCTCCTTGTGGTCTGGCGTTTTCCTCCACAGACAGCTGGGGACAGCCTATGTGAGTGCCACCACGGGGGCTGTGGCCACTGCTCTGGGACTCAAATCTCTCACCAAGGTAAAGTCTCCCTGCATCAATCCTTTAACCACCCCCTTCTTCCCCGTTACCTCTCAAGAGGCTGCCCAGATCCATTCTGAATCCCTTCCCACTCATGGTTCTCAGAGCCACTGAACACACCTCTCCTCCCCAGCACCTGCCACCACTAGTTGGCCGATTTGTACCCTTTGCAGCTGTGGCTGCTGCCAACTGCATCAACATCCCCCTGATGAGGCAGAGGTGAGTGGTCCAGGCTCCTGGCATAGGAATGTCCAGATACTTGCTCTGGGCTTTACCCTACACCCTGGGGGCTGTTCAGAACCAGCCTTGGGTGGGGAAAGGGGTCTCCAGAGATCTGCTGCCTGTCACCTGACTTGAGCCTCCCTCTCTTCTTAGGGAGCTGCAGGTGGGCATCCCAGTGACTGATGAGGCAGGTCAGAGGCTTGGCCACTCGGTGACTGCTGCCAAACAGGGAATCTTCCAGGTGGTGATATCGAGGATTGGCATGGCGATTCCTGCCATGGGTGAGATGGGGATGGCTGGCCCAGCTCGGGAGGCTGGGAGAGAAGATGGGATGAGGTTCTCAGGGATTTTTAGAGTCACCAAGTCCGGGAAGAATGCCGGGACAGGAGGGAGGTCTTCCCTCAGGTCCCTGGAGTTTGCTCTAACACCCTTATTACCTGCTCTCCCCTCAGCCATACCCCCAGTGATCATGAACACGCTGGAGAAGAAAGACTTCTTGAAGGTAAGAAATTCACCTTTTACCTATTCTATCCAGAGGTTTCTGACATACACAGGGATGACTGGCATCATCATGCTTGATTGCATACTCTTGATGTCACTCACTGTGTCTCCCACTAAGAGGTGAATTTGCATGCTCTCATGAATGCACACACAAGGCAGGGAAGCAAGGCTCAAGAATACAGGCTCCAGCTCATTCAGCGAATCATTTATTCTCAAATAAGTATTAAGCTCCCACTATACACCAGACATGTTAAACAGAACTAAGATGGTCATAGATCCTGTTCCCATGAGGCATGCAGTCTAGGACAGAAACGGACAAACAAAGGAAGGAGTATGGTGGTGTGCACCTTTAACCCCAGCAGTCTGGAAGCAGAGGCAGGTGGATCTCTGTGAGTTTGAGGCCAGCTTGGTCTACATAGCAAGTTCCGGGTCAGCCAGAGCTACACAGTGAGACCTTGTCTCAAAACACGAAACAACAAAACAAACAAACAAACAAACAAACAGAACTAATAAACAATCACTGTAGTTACAAAATGTGCTTTGTAGGAAACCAGTGGGACATTATAACTGAGACTATCTGGGGAGCAGTTTAGGTAAGGATAGGCCTTGGAAGAGCCAGAGAAGAAGGAGAGTCTGGCAGAGTGTTTCAGGGAGAGAGAACAGGCCCTGGGGCAGGGAGGGGCTGGCACATCTGAGGAACAGAACAACAGTTGCTGTGACTGAAATGGATGGAGAAAGGTGTGGAGAGGGATATGTTTATGCCCCTGGGGATGACAGGAAGTGAGTGGACACTCGGGGGGGGGGGGCTTCCTGGAGAGAGGGAAATAAGAGAAAGACAGGATCATGGAATGCCATGGGAACCAATTAGGAGACACAAGATCATCTGATGGGAGAGGCATCAGGTCTGGCTGGGGCAGGGGGTGGGGTTGCCACATGCACGTCCCAGCCTGTCACTGGCTGGCCGAAACATCCAGATGTCCAAGGGCTCAGAGGTAGGGTTGATGGGTTAGAATCATGGTGGGGAACCTCCATGGGACACAGACCATTGTGCTGTCTCTCCGTCTCCCCACAGCGCCGCCCCTGGTTGGGAGCACCCCTGCAGGTGGCGCTGGTAGGCTTCTGGTAAGTGTACAAAGGGCTTGATCGGGGCCCATGGGAAAGCCTTTATCATTTTATTCCATTTGAGGTGCTTACATACATTGCCCAGTCATACATTCAGGTGGTACAAATACTCATAGTGCATAATACATGTGCGTGTGTAGAGTCTTAGGGGTTCTTGTAGTTGGAAGGCCAATAGTTCGGGTGAGGGGGTTCAGTCTTTATTCATTAGAGAAAACCATGCAAATAAACTCTGGCACAATCCAGGAGGTCAAGCTCATTTTATTCCTGATTCTGTCACTTTCAAATCATTGGGGCTTTGGATCAATGCTCATGAGGCTCTTTCCTCATCCAGAATCTAATATCAGAATTGAGTTTATCATTCCTGAATGGTCCTTTGGCTTCATTTTCCAACCTTTACAGCTGGGATACAGCTCCCCCAAACATATTCACTCGTGGGGCAATTTCCATGAGGCGGGGTACTGGGAGGGGATGCTCAGGCCAGCTTCACAGCAGTTCCCCATGCTCTTCTTCCCTAGCCTGGTATTCGCCACACCCCTGTGCTGTGCCCTGTTCCCTCAGAGAAGGTGAGTGATGCCCTTGGACTGGACCAGAATCCTTGCCCAGGACCCCACATCTTAGGTCCTCAGTGTATGCCTGGGAGGCCTGGGAGGCACTGGTGATGTGGCAGCCAGCCCTTCTGAAACCAGGAGAGGATTCTGGGAGTGGGGGGGAGCCGGGCCCTGGGATTGAGATGCTGAGCCCACGGTGCACACATCTAGCCTGTGCTGTTCTGTTGCAGCTCCATACATGTGACCAGGCTGGAGCCGGAGCTGAGAGCTCAGATCCAAGCACAGAGCCCCAGCATCGAGGTGGTTTACTACAACAAGGGCCTCTGAGGGCAGTCAGCCTCAGGCTGCTTCTTGGGGGCCACCTTATAATGCTACCACTTGTTTATCTTCTGGGTCAGGGGATTTGAGGTGGGAAGCAGCCTCTGAGGCCAGCAAACCCTTTGACACTCCTTAAGCCTCTTCTCTCCCCTCTGGTGTCAAAGAGCAAGTCACAAAGCCCACCCCTCCCATGCTTGTGTGCGCGCAGACACACGTATGTGACACATGGAAGAGTTTATATATATGGTAGGCTTTTCTAGGATGTCTTAATATTTGGCTTCCCTCCCCAGTCTCCTGCCCACCTCACAGCAAGCCAGGTCATACAGGTGACACTTCCTTCCTTAAAGTGTTCCTCTGAACAAGACATATCCCATAGTACCGTACCCTTCTAGATACAGGAGAAGCCCCAGAATCCCAGAGCATGGACTGAGGGCCACCAGCACTGAGAGCCACCAGCCATGCAAACAGACCTTAATCCTCAGGTTTTGAGTAGGTGGCTCCAAAGCCTGGTTCCAAAACCTGGGCTGGCACAGGGATTAGGGAGGCAGAGGACTCATGCCTGCTGGGCCCACATCCTTCCTCTCTTCTCTTCAAGTAAAATGAAGGGATGTCAGTAGCCTGTGCTGCCCTCCATACTACAATGTGGGTGCTTTTAGGGATAGTTGTAGGCATTCTTCGTCTATTCTGATGTCACGACTCAGAAATCCCACAATTCCAATTCTTTCCTTAATCAGAAAGCTACACAGGCAGAGCAAGCATTCCCTTTCACGAACTGCCACCACCCGTACCCACTTGTAGCAGAACTGGTGTGTGGGAATGGTGCTTAAACACAGGCCTCACGTGTACAACCTCAAGACAGGTAATTCTGTGTTTCATTGACCCTCCTTAGACATTCGCCACGCCTCAGCTCCTTCCTTCCCGCCTATCCCATCTCTGGAAGAACCCAGGGGCTTCACATATGCTAGGAAAGTATTCTGCCGCTGAGCTACATCCCGCTCTCCTCTCCTCTCCTCCTCTCTTCTCTTCTCTCCTCCCCCCCTCTCTCCTTCCTTTCTTCCACTTGTTTTTTCCAGATGAGGTCTCTCTGGGTAGCTCTGACTGTTGTGGAGCTCACAGTGTAGACCAGGCTGGCCTCAAACTCAGAGATCCACCTGCCTCTGCCTCCCAAGTGCTGGGAAGAAAGGTGTGCGCCACCACCAGCCCATCTCTTTCTCCTGCCTTTGGACCAAATGGAAGATGGGTTTGGGAACGGCATAGGAGGCAGCGGCTTCACGGTGCAGATTAGATCTCCACCCTGAATCCGTGGCCTCCAGCTAAAAAGGTGAAGGGGTGGGTGGGTGAAAAGGTCCCGGTGACGTCCGCGGACCGCCTTGTGCTTTCACTGACCACTCCCTCCAGTGACAACAGCTGACCTGTCATGGTGTCAATAAACTGCAATCCTGGCTAGTTTTCCATCTCCACTTGTTCCATGCCCCAAGTGTCTATCTAGGTAAGAGTCCAGGAGATTCTCCTATGTCCAGCTTTCCCTTCCTTTCCCCCAACCCTTCCCTGTAGGGAGCCTCATCTCCCAGCAGAGGGCTCTCTGAGCACACAAAATGGGTCCTCTGGCTAGCACCTAGTCCCTCAGAAGGGGGAAGTGTGTTTTTCTCTCTTCACTGAGAGGGCTGCTCACAGGTTTATTAATTCAAGCTCCTGGCTTCTTAGTTTCTTTGAGGAACTTTGGCATGATGGTGACCTCTGGTCTCTAGGAAACCTCCAGAGAGGGGAGAGGAGGACAATGGCGTCACGCTCCACCCAAGTGAAGCTGTCAGGGAACCAGCACCTCTGTCCTTACTAGTTCACCACAGAAACTGGCCTGGCAGGAGGATCCTTTGGAAAATTATCCCTTCCCATCTATCACCCAGGGTTCTCCAGTGTGTGTGTGTGTGTCTGTGTGTGTGTGTGAGTGTGTGTGCATTGTGTGAGTGTGTGTGTGTGTGTGTGTGTGTGTGTGTGTGTGTGTGTGTAGGTCAGAGGACACAACTTCCAGGAATCAGTTTGTTTTGTTTTGTTTTTATACTATTGGGTCCTAGGGATCAAACTCAGGTTATCAAGCTTTGTAGAAAGCACCTAAAGCACCTTTATCCACTGAGCTACCTACCAGCCTCCTGCTTTTATAACATTTTCCTACCCTGGAGAAGATGAGGTAGGAAACTTGTTCCTGTATATAGCTGGGAAGAGTCATTTACTATTGCTTTCTTTCCTGCAGTCTTTACCTTGTCAGATGCAAGGAAATTAGCATGGATAAACCTACTAAAATATCTAAACCCCCCTCCATGCAAGGAAACAGCCCCTCTGTGTTACCCTTTCAGCTTCTAATAGGTGAAATCTATTTGAAATCTTTAGGTCTAAAGGGTCCCTCATCTTGGGGTAAGTAACAATTTACTTGTGTGGGAAGGGAATGGTGACACCAGCTCCTGTCCCCTGAGTCCTGTTGGGTGGTACCAGCCCCAGTGAAGCCAACTGCCTTTAGTTGTTATCTTTTGATCTTTGAAACCTATGAGAGGGCATATTCTGCCTTTCTGAGAAAAGACATGAGTTTAGCGACATTAAGAAAGTTGCATGTCAGTGGTCATGAGGTTTCATTCCTGTAATCCTAGCACTTAGGAATTGAGGCAGGAGGATAAGGATTTTTTCTTTTCTCTAAGATACTATGCAGCCCTAGATGTTATAGAGCAAGGCTGATCTTGAACTCACAGAGATCTGCTTGACTCTGCTTCCCAAGTTTTTAAGGCATTCATCACCATACCTGGCTAGGACTGATAATTAAAGGTCTTCTTCAATTACATAGCAAGTTTGAGGTACATGAGACTCTGTTTCAAATATCAACCAAACAAAAATAGCAACAAGATGCTGAGCATGGTAGTGCCCCCTTTAATTTCAGTACTTGGGAGGCAGTGGCAAGTGTATCTCTGAGTTTGAGGCCAGCCTGGTGCACAGAGTGAGACAGAAGCCCTGTCTCAAACAAAATCCAAGAAAATTGGTGGAGCAGGATTCCAGCTGAACTGCGACTCCCAACCCCTGTTCTTCCTTCCCCTGCCCCCTGCTAGAACCCGGTCCCCATGACATCTTGTTTACAGACCAGCAAAACTGGAGGTCCACAACTATATGCAAACCTTTTACAAAAGCCACTGAGGAGGCTCATGGTCAGTCTGGGCAACTCCGTGAGACACTGTGCTGAAGTAAAAACTATAAAGGTGTATTATAGCTCAGTTGTGGAGTGCTTGCCTAGCATGTGTACAGTCCTAGGCTCAGTCTTTAGTGCCCTACAAAAAATAAAACAAAAAGTCTCTCAACCACCAAGGAGTTTCCAAACCTGAGTTTTAAAGTTTGACATAAGTAAATAGCCTCGTTCTTGATTAAACATGGAACACTTAGGTGGCCAGCTTCAATTTCATTCCATCCTGTCTATCATGCTAAGGTGTCCTTCCAAACCCCAGAACCCCCGGGCCAATTCTACCTTCTTTTAGCAGGTAAGCCCTGGCCTTTCAGCGTTGTGAATCCATGCAAGATAACCTCATTTGGGGAGGAGGGAAACAATCCGTGCAAGACAAAATTAGTAAGAATGTTTCATAACAGAACTGTCTGTACTCTGTGGACAATGCTACATCTCGTCAAAAAACTGGCAAGTCATCTAAGGAGGGTGTGTTTTCCTGTCTTTCCCTTCTAATTTCAGTTTCTCAAATGCTGTGAGAGTTAGCAATAGGGCTAACACAGGACAAATCCTAGCTAGGTACACTGTCCAAGCTGTCTCCACAGACCCTGGCTTAAGGGCCAGAGCAAAACCCCTTTGTTTCCTGGTTACGCCAGTCAGCTTCAAGCTCCGCCCTCAAGACCTATCAGTCAAAGGGAAGTCACGCCTCCTGTACGTATCCTGTCCGGAAACGCTGTCGGCCCTGATGCCGCACCTGTCACTCAAAAGTTAGGCTCGGCCCCGCCCACTTCCGTTTTCCCTGGCAACGACTGGCTTGAGCGCCCCAGGCCCTCTCCCTGTCAGATCCCTGATCCGCTTCCTCTCTTGCTCTTGATCCTGGAACGCTCAATCCGCCAAATCCCCTCCTTCCTCAAGCCACGCTAGGACCGCCCCCTGACTTCCTGCCCGGAAATCCCGAGGTTTTCGAGGAATCACGCGAGGTCTGTCCGCGTCCCAAATCCCGATCCTCTGCCCGGGATGCTCTGATCGCCGCGGCCAGCTCCCTCCGCCCTCGAAACCAACCGTGCAGGGGCCGTTTCCCCGTGAGCAGTGGACAGTGACGTCGCGGAGAACAGAATAGCCGCCTTCCCGCCTACAGATCTTCCGTAGCAGACAGGCGTCAGGACCTAGCTGCACCCCGTCTTTGTTAATCTCGCAGCCTCCAGGCCCGGTGCTGGACGGACAGCTTTCTTCAAAGATGTAGCCAAGGATGACCCCCAGTCCCTGATCCCCATGCCGCTACCTTCCAAATGCTAGGATTATAGGCATGTGCCACCACGCAATATATATAAAATCGTGTAATCCGAAAGCACACTTCAGACCTTACCTGCTGATTCTAAGTGTGGTCACGAACACCGAGGTTCTCAGTGTAGTTCACTTCTCCGCAAGCCTAGGACGATGCACTCACAAGGGAACCATGGGTCACAGCCCTGTTGATTTCAGGGTGGAGCAGCATCCCCCTTCAGCAAGCGTGCCAGGATCTTGGGGGATGGGGCTGTTTGAAAAGTCCTCTGGACAGCGTGAAGCTCGTGGCTAAGATAAGACAGCTAGTCAGAGAATGAATTCAGCTCTCTTTATGTTTGTCTGCAACCCGAGTGCAGGGTACGGTGGGGTGTGTGGCATATAAGTAACCAGGGCCACAGGTGTTTCGTTTCTCTGCGTGGCTGCACACGCCCACGCCTGTCTCTTTGGCAGTTCCTGAGACTTCTATTGTCTGACTCCCATTGCGTTTTCTTGAGTTGGGCTCCACAGCGTTGTCACAGCATATTTGAAAGTTGACACTTTCACATAATTGTCCACTTCCTACAGAGTGGTCCCAGAGGAGGACTGTTTGAGTGTGTCGTCCTTGGCGTGCCACAGGCGTTTTCATGGCTTGCTTTCCAGTGCACTGGAATGAGAACTTGCTGTTGTGTAATTGTGGTGTAAGAGAAATCCAATGCAATATTCATGGAAACGTTCCCTTCTGACTTACTCAAATCTGCTCTGTCCTGCTACACATGTCTGTCCCTGCTACTGATTCTCTCTCTGGGAATTTGTTCACCTTTTTATAAGCTTGTTTTTCTTAAAGGTTTGTTTTGTTTTTATTAGTTGAGGATGTTATCCAACGTGTTTTCATATTCACTCCCTTTCCTACCCACCCAACTTTGTGCATCCTTCATGTCTGATTTTTGCTACCAATATATTCTTAGATGTGTGGTCTTGACTGTTAAAACTTAACTGACTGTCCATCTCCCAGCAGCCATCAGTTGCCAATAGCTTCTTGGCTGGGGACAGCCAAGTTATTTGTATGTTTTTGAGACAGAGTTTCTCTGTGTAGCCTTGGCTGTCCTGGAACTTGCTCTGAGATCAGGCTGGCCTTGAACTCAGAGATCTTCCTGCCTCTGCCCCTTGAATGCTGGAATTAAAGGCGTGAGCCACCACTGGCCACCCAACTTGCCTTGTATTTTCAAATTTTATTTTCTGTGTACGAATGCTTTACTTGAATGACTATAACTGCACCATGGGCATGTGTAGTACCCGAGGAGACCAGAAGAGGGCCTCTGATCCCCTGAAATTGAAGTTGGAAAAGGTTGTGAGGCACCATGTGGGTGCTGGGAACCAAATGCACATCTACAAGGGCAGCAAATGCTGTTAAGGGCTGAGCCATCTCTACATCTTTCTCAAGTTTTTAATTTAAACAATTAAAAGATGTATTTATTTGTATGTATGTGTCTGTATGTGAAAATATGTGTAGGGCATCCTACTTGGTCACTTTCCAAACATTCCTTTGAGGTAGGGTCTCTCCCTGAACCTGGAGTCATGCCTTCCTGGCTAGGCTGGGGTTACAGGCATTTTGAGGGGATGCCCAGCTTGTTATGTGGGGTCTGGGATCTAAGTTGTCTTTCTGATCTTAAAGCAATCATCCTTACTGGCTGAGCCACCTCTCCAGCCCCTTGGTTTTTAAGTACACACACAGTCATGCTTTATCATCACCGCCCCATACATACTTTTCGTTGCCCTGCCCATCTTGTGAGTTCTATTGCGCCGCTCTGCCTGTGCTCTCCTTTCGATTACATGTTCCATTGCCTCTTCCTCCCTCTCCCGTAAGACCTCTTTCCCCTTTTCATGATCGCCTCCTAATGACCTATACATGCACCACACATATATACACATAGATTAAAAATGACAACCTAGGATCTGAGTATGAGGGACAGTGTGTGGCATTTGTCTTTCT